ATCGATTTTGTAATCGATTTTTTGATAGATTTCGTAATCAGTGTTGTTATCGATTTTGTTATCGGTATTTTTATCGATTTTGCTATCGATTTTGCTTTCGATATTATTTTCGATTTTGATATCAATATTTTCATCGATTTCTTTATCGATGTTTTTATCGATTTTGCTATCGATATTATTATCGCTTTTGTTATCGATATTTTTTGCTTAGTGTGTACTTTCGTTTTTTACTTGGATATGCTCTTTACCATACCACGTATTCTACGTTTAAATTTAGCGGCTGTATCTCCGATACAGCCTGCAGACCAAGACGAAGGCGCTGGACTGTTCCTTTTTTTATTTTTTTTAATGAAAATATGAAAAAAAAACACTTAAACCGGAGAAAATTAAAAAAAAATAACATCTTTTGTGTAAAACTTATGCCTTTGGGCTAAATCGCGTTCTATCACAAAAAAATCAAGTTACTAATGAAGAAAGTCGATGGATAAATAAAAAAGTAATGAGGATAAGGATAAATACATATATTACTTCATGAAATTAATGAGCCTGCGCACTCGACTTTTTATGGACGGGGTAGAATTTTACCTCAGCAATTTCAGACGGAGAAAATTGCGGTATGAATTCGGTCTGATACGCACACATAGAAAGTTAACTCTCTTATAATTTATGATTACTAGAACCAGTGCGCCTAACGTTGCAATGCCATTGGGACCAGCTTTTTGGAAATTTTCAATGTTTGGCTTTTTTTACTACCTCGCGCAAGTTTTGATCCTTTATGACTTTGAAAACTTCATAGTCATATTTTTACACTCTTTCCTTAAATTTCAATAATTGCAAAAAATAATCAAGTATTGATGAATTAGATATAGATACATTTATTGTTTCAAAATACTACAAGGCATAGAAGCATTCGTCAACAAGATCTTAGTACTCAGTATGCTTCCCATTTTGATTTTATTTTATCATTTTTACATATGCATATTGTATAAGAACTAGTTATGTATGTGAGAGCTTAAGCAAATATATACACATCTATTTATAAACCTGTTCCTCAATCCAATCAAAATATTCAGAAACGCGTGTATAAATTCCGGGAGTGCCAGTACCACATCCGATGCCGAAAGAGGTTACGCCCACAATATAAGCTATCCGATCGTAATCTTCTATATTTTCATATCTTATAAGCGGGCCGCCGGAGTCTCCCTTAAATAATAAAATTTTTAGATTTGAAATTATGGAGCCACTTCTTCAGAATTTGGAAAATTGTAAGAGGTAGGTAACACCAAGTTCGCTTTTTCAAAATTTTTTTTTTTTTAGCCCTTACCTGACAAGTGTCTCGTAACTTTGCATGATCCTTGGCGCACAGCTGTGTAGCTATTACTCCTGAACTCAGCAAGTCTTCATCCTGTTCATAATAAGTACTACATTCTTCGTTCGTAATTGTAGACAAACTCGTTTTCATTAAGAGCGGTGAGGAGGCACCAGCTTTGAGACACGAGAGTGGGTTAGAGAGAGAGATAGATGATATGATCAAATAAAATACGCTTTTCAAATCTTACCGAATTGTGTATCCCCATAACCTATAGCAGTGAGCTGCTCCTCTGCCAATGACCCATACCAGATGCAAGCTCTAGCCACGATGGGCGAGTCGCTACTACAAAGGAAATTTTATGTTTCACACTATTGGTAAATACCTCCAGCAGATCTTACAGAAATACTTTTGTCATGCGAATAAGCGCTATGTCATTGTAAACTGCTGGGTATTCATAATTTGGATGTTCAATAATCTGATCGATATCATAGTCAGTCGCAGTGGTACTATTCAAATCGAATCCGCCTGGACGCACCACAACAGGCGGATCACTTGCGCGAAAGAAGAACAGTAATATAGTATACATACATACTTTTTTGTTGTTTTAAAATTCGCCTAAGTATTTACCTGGAGTGGTAGAGACAGTGCGCAGCTGTTAGCAAATATCTGCTGTCGATTAATGTTCCACCGCATCTGTAAGCTATGCTCTCTGTACCATTTTGATCTCGTACTCGCCAACCTATAGCAGCCTGCGTACAAAGAAAAATAGCTTTGTATCTTAAATTATTACTACGAATATTTTTTTAGAGCCAACTATTTAGTATTTCTGTCTATTTTAAACCACTCACCATGTATGGAAATTCGTTAGGCTCCGCCACCACACCAAATGTTATAAATCCAGAGGGCAAATGGGCATCTAAGCAGGCTGTAAGTTTATTTATTGTGAATATATTTCTACATATGTATATGTAAACATATGAGCTGTTATTTTTGAAAGTGGTATAAGTCCGTTTTTAAAGTGAAACTTCTTAATCGAGTTCGGATGGGTAGAAGGTTAGATACAACGGGCTGGCTTGTAAGTAATAGTAGAGTTCGGAGATGTTTGCGTTAAATGTTTATGTCATGTCATCAGACCTTTATCGTTTAACCTGTACTTATGCAATATGGTTTTAGTTTTTTTTAAAGGGTTGCCACCTACTAGAAAATTAAATTAAAATAATTCAAATCTTTTAATAAGTAAAATTAGTTAATTTATGAGTATCAATCGAAGTGGCTTTGAAAAAGCCTAATTTTTTAGCAAAATGAAGGAGTCTGCCATCTGTTCGACAAGTCAAATTTAACTTGATGCATCAGTTAATTGATATACATATGTACATTAGACTGCATCACTAAAAAAGTTGCGGGTTTTCCGCCGGGTTTACAAAATCTACTATATTTTAAGACGTCCACCAAAATATTTCGGAAAAATATTAAGATTTAAGCGAGCTGGACCGATTTGAAAATACCTCCAAAAATGTAGTTTTTTATAAATAAAAATAGTTTCTTAATGAACTTTTTGAAAAAAGTCCTCTCAGATGACAAAACAGATTACGCTTAAAAATCTGATTGATTTTCGAAAAACTTGAATAACTGGGCCAAAGCTATTCTGATTTAGACTTATGGGATGACCTCAGCAGAAAGGTATTTTCCTACTATTTTTATTTCTGTGCAAAAAAAGTCATTCGTGTCCCAGTTTTCTTTTTTTTAATACCAACACATCTTAATTCAACTTTGAATGATCTTTGTTCATCCTACCTTTCTCTTTCATCCTTTGCATGAGCTTATTAGCAAAGAAATAAAAAAGGGTGAGAAAATACCTTTCCAATGATACCTCTTAAGTCTAAATCGGAAGAGTTTAAGTTCAGTTATTCAAGTTTCTCTTATACCAATCGTTGAAAAAAGTAAAAAAAACAGCATCAAAAATCTCATTACTATGATTCCGTTCAAAATCTTTTTACATTTTTTTAAAATATTTTTAGGCAAATTTTTTAAGCTTAAACCATCTTTAAGAAACTATTTTATGCATTTAAACCATCTTTAAGAAACTATTTTTATGCATAAAAAACTCCATTTTTGAAGGTATATCCAAATCGGTCCAGCTGACGTAAATCTTAATATTTTTCCGAAATATTTTGGTGGACGTCTTTAAAATATACGCGATTTTATAATACCAATGGAAACGCAATACCGATTTTTGTTTTTTTTTTTTGTATGGGGAGTGATGCACGCTAATGTATATACATTTGAATAGGGTTGCCACTTGTTTGAAAAGTGAAATTCTGTTAAATTATTCAGATGCTATGTACATGAAATATTAAAATTTGAATATCAAACGAAAATGTTTTTAGCAATTTTTAGTTTGAACAACTAAAATATTTTCAAAATTTAAGTTCAAACTTTTTATATGGCTGCGGATATGTTTGCGTTAAATATTTAATGCCATGGCGAAGGTATATTTTACAAAATATATTCCGAACTTCTTCCTTTCTGTAATTTGCTTTATTAAGTTTCACTTCTTCCGCGTGTAGTGACTACAAGCAGTAAGTTTTTCTTTTATGTGATTGAAAAAGTTTAACTAAACAAATTTTTCGCTACTTACACTGGTAGAGTAAACGATGCTTTTCTGGCCTGCCTCCTAATGCGCAACAAGTAAGCGTATTATTACCATCCTGACAATGCCCCTCACATTGGGCTTTCTGTTTTTCGGTTAATCTTTGCATATCCTCTTTTGTATAATAAAAGCCTATAACGTTGAGCGGCGTATAACATTCCTGGGCTTTGTAACAGCCTTCGCTTAACCGTGGCTTTTCTAAAAATACCGCTGAAACGGCACAATAATATGAACTCGTAAGCGATATGGCTGTAAAAATTTGTACATATTTTTTGTTTATCCATAATAAGTATTTACCCAGTATTAGTATTTGAAAGCTTATAAAAATTGGCAGGCGGCTTGAGTTCGCACGCAAGCGCTTCATCTTCCCTCAAAATGTTGACTACTTTGTTGCGAAAATAAAACTTGAATGTAAAAGTGCGTTCTGTTCTCTAATTACTGGGCAACTTGTTATGAGCAGCAAAATCAGCGAACTGAGAGTTAAATGCATACACGTAAATATGTATGTTTACTAAATCCGAAATTTAATATATGCTAATCAGCTATAAATAAGAGAGTTAAGCTTGTAAGATTAAAAAAAAAAATTGTGATGAGAATTGCTTACGAACTGGTTTATTGCAAAATAAATGCACAAATAAGAATTTCTCAGTATTTATTGCAGTACCTGGATGGTTATGGTAACTAGTCCGGAGGTTTGCGTTATCGATAATTAAATATAGGTTATTAGTGTGGGGCGAAAAAATTAGTTTCTCGATTTTGAAATCTCTCTAATTATAGTTCTTTTATATGCATTTTCTTTTTTTTTAATACTTTCTAGAAAGATTTTGCGTGTGCAGTTTTGTAGCCCATACAATTTTAGTAAATATAATAAAGTGCAAGTTTGAGCGTTGATTTTTGGAATTTTTTATGCTGATGGTGTAACGCATTTATTTTTATGAGAATTGAAGTCAGTTGTGCTTTTTGATTAAAAAATATATTTTTTTCCTTTAATTTGTAGTTTGTATTCTTTTTAAAAGAAAACTTTTTATTTTAATGCATATATTTTTTATCAACACTGTTGTTGTCCATTAAATGTGACTTTATTTTGTCTTTCGTCAGTAGAAGTATATACATATGTACATATTCAGCTCGCCACAGTTCCATAAGTGACCTCCTCAATCCAATCAATATATTCAGATATGCGCGTATAAACACTTGGAGTGCCAGTGCCACAACCGATGCCAAATGATGTTACGCCAACCAAATAAGACATTAAATTAAGGCCCTCCATTTGCACAAACTTTATAATCGGACCGCCAGAGTCGCCCTGTAAATGAAAGATATTTTGAATGATAATATGTATGCAAGTATGTATTTCACAAAAATTTCAAGCTATTTTCATGCTCTTACTTGGCAAGTGTCACGCAGTTTCTCGGGATCCATTGCGCATATCTGAGTCGATCTAATTCCTTCAGTTAGAGCACCACTATCCGGGTCATAAAACGATTCACACTCACGATTGTTGATTGTTGTTAAATTGGTCTTTAATAATAGTGGTGAGGAGACGCCGCCTGAAAAGAGGGTTAAGGGGTTAATGCTACAATGCTGGATTTCTTCAAGTGATTACTACTGCATATTACTTTTCTTTAGGCCCTGATTTAAAAAGTGTCATGTTGAAACAATATTAGTGACTACTTTGATTGCCTCAATGCGTTTTTTGCCGTTTTAAGGCCAAGTGAAAATTCGCTATATGTATTTATGTATGTTAATATGTACATACCAAATTGTGTGTCTCCATAACCGATTGCTGTAACATTTTCTTCCAAGCTTGGCTTTGCCCAAAGACATGCTGGTGCATCATGGAAGGGATTGCCACTTTGAAGTGTATTGAAAAAATTAAAGCATAATTTCAGTTGAAAAAATTTTCAATTTATCCCACAAACGTCTTTCTACTCACTTAAATATTGTCTTCAAGCGTATAACAGCAATATCATTGTAAACAGATGGATATTCATAGTTGGGATGCTCTATGACATCTTCAACTTCCAGGTCCCATGCTTCAGTGTCATTTAAGGCGAACCCACCAGGTCGCACAACGACGGGCAGATCGCTAAGTTTTTGTTTTTTTTTTCAAATTTGTTCAAAATGAGAAATAAAGAGTAAAAAATAATAATAGTATTTTTTTTTTTAAACATACGCTGAATGATATAGACAATGTGCCGCCGTAATCACATAGCCACGATCGTATATAGTGCCACCACATTTGTAAACTATTGTTGAGTTCCCTGTGGAATCGTCTTTAATGCGCCATCCTAGAGCAGCCTGAAATGCAAATATTTGCGCCATTTGCGATATTAGTTTGCATAACCATTTAATTAAAAGCCTCCTTCGGAGGAGACAGGGTTGGAAACGCCTCGATAACGGCGGCAGAAGTTGCCCTCATTGCTGCACACGCAGGCTAGTTCTTGTAATCATGCCTCTTTCCTTCTCGAAAGAATGGTTTTCCTTTCTTGGAGAAAATAGCTATGCTACTCATTTGAGCGTTAACGTTAAACCCTTTTTAAGTGCATCATTGCAGTAAGAGATACTTTGGGGCACCCTTCGTAGCTTTGACCCCTCGTGTCCTAGAGTTTATTTAATGGTTTTATACTTGCCCCGCAAAAAATGGGACTAATCCGGGATGACTCCGGGAGCAATCGCAAAGAAGCAGGACTAATACAACTTTTGATCTCTTTATATGGAATGAACTGTTCGCTTTTGTTCGCGCATGTCCTATGAAGAGACTAATTGTTCACCTTTATACCCGAACGGGTATAAAAAGCGACTAGTCACTTTTAAAAAATAAGAATAAAAATTTGCGCCAGCTGAGATTCGAACCGGGGTGTGTCAGTTTTGTTAGGCGAATACCCTCCCTGTGTCCCAACGCCGCACATGAAATTTCATTGACTAATCATATCATTAAATCCATAATAGTACCCGTTAGAGATGAGTTGAGGACTCATTGATCTCCAATTATACCCATAAGGGATGAGTCGAGACTAATTGACCTCCATTAGTCCCCGTATGAGACTAGTTGCGACTAATTAATGCCGAATTGTACCTGGTTGAGAGTAATCTCGGAATACTCTCTTTAGAGATGCAGGGTGGCATCCGTTGGCATGTAGTAATTTTAACCCATTTGCGCCCGAAGCGTTTAGCAATTAGAGTATGTTCTGGGTTATCGGAAGCACTCCTTATAACTGTTGCAGATTATTTAGATAAAAATCAAAAATAATTGCTATTTTGGATTTTTAAAATAAAAGTTAGAAATTACACTTATTTAAGGACTAATTAAATAAAAGTCAAAAATAATTGTTAAAAAGCGATTTTTTTTTTTTAAATAAAAGCTGTAACTGTTACGGTCCCTGCTCATAGGTCAGTATTATTTCTGTTAGTGTTGTCGTTTCCCCCTAACTTGGGGAGGTATCGGACTGTCTTTTTCTGTTTTTTTTTTTGTAGCGGTAGGCATCTAACGCATAGCATACCCTGAATAGCCTTGTTAAAAAAGAGCGGCTAATGGGATATTCTCTGCAGTGGTTCGCATATAAATTAGTAACACGGCCCCTATTAGCTCTCCAACTCTCACCCGTATGCGTCGTTTCGGCCCTCCCTAAAGGTAAAGGCTTAAAACACTGCAATGTTTTTCAGAATATTTCGCCATGGTAGCTCCAGGTAGCTTCAGTCAAGTAACTTTCACGACTTAGGCTGCGTTTCTCCAAACTCATTTAAGTGGAAATTAACTTTAATTGAATTTTTTACTTAATTTTATTACATAATTAGATTAAAATTGATTGGTGAAACCAAAAATTCGAAAATTAAAGTAATTTTCACTTAAATGAATCTGGTGAAACCCAGCCTTAAAGATAAAACGAAATTACATGATTTTTTGAAATATAGCGACTAACTACTAATTCATAGAACTCCCTTATCACTTTTACCTTCATTTCATAGCGATCAAACTTTAATTTGTTGCCATTCTAAAGCTTAGTATCCAGGTTCTAAGCAAACAGTCAGGAAAGAAAAAAAAGTTTCGTTCGCGGGAATAGTAGTGTCTAAGAAATTTCGACATCTGATATTTCACAGCCTATTGTCTCACTCTTTCTTCACGAAATAATGGGCATATATTTCTGTTGCAAAAAACTTCCTTAAGGAAATTTGAGACAAGAAAATGTCTTCGTCAGTTGTTCAGCGTTTGTTTTTTTTGTTTAAATGGAATTTTTGCTTTTCTTGAGTGTTGGATACTAAACTTAAAATTTACCAACTTACCATAAACGGAAATTCGTTATCCTTAGCTAATTTTCCATGTATGATGAAACCACGCTTTAAATGATTGTATCTGCAGACTGTTAAATATATGTACAGTGGCGAGCATTAATGGTTGAATGTTTGCCACTTTTGTACTTATGTGACCATACAAATTTTCCCATTAACGCAATTTCAATCTAACTTTTTTTGTTTTATAGAACATTTATTCTTTTAACAAAAAACATAAACAAACTTCATTCAAACTTAATTGTGAAATTTGCTAAGGCGAGAAATCAAAAGTAACTGCATTCATCCAATTTTGCACGTCACGCTTTTGTGGCTTGGCATGCCTTGAATTTACCTTTATCTGAAATAATTGAATCGCTGCAGCTGTGCATCGCTTGGTTATGTCATGTTTAGCAATAGTCGGTTGAAAAAGTTCGATCAAAGCGTACGTAACTACGAAATTAAAAACATAAAATTAAAAATGCGGTAAATATCAGAAGACGTGGCAAAAAAGATCGTGATGTTGACAAAAGATGGTCTTTCGGCGCGAGAAATTGCTAAGAGATGTAAAATCTGCCACAGTACAGTCTTATGTGTTCAAAAAAGACGGGGTTTGCTGCCTACATCGAGTGTTAGAGGGCGTCGTAGGTTACTCTCTGACGGAGATGCTCGCTGTATGAACGGTTAATGAGGCGTAATAACATCATAACATCAAAATTAGCTGCGGAGGAAATAAACAAAGTAGTAAGTGAGTGGACGGCTCGTAGAGCTCTTCAACGAATCGGTTTGATCTCATCAGTCAAGAAAAAAAACGGGCTTTGTCTGACAAAAATTTAAAAGCACGGTTGAAATTTTGTAACGATTGCAAAAATTGGAGCGTTGATGACTGGAAACGAGTGATATGGTCAGACGAAACAAAAATAAATCGCTTCCAGTCAGATGGAAAACAATACTACTGGCACCGTCCACAAGAAACGCTTCAAAAGCATCAGGTAAAGCAAACTGTGAAGCATGGCGGAGGCAGTTTAATGGTATGGGGCTGTTTTACTTGGTGGCATGTTGGCCCATTAACAAAAATCAATGGCATAATGAAAAAGGAAGATTATCTTCATATTTTAAGAACAAATTTGCCTGATTTCGTCGAGATGAGCGCATATCCTGAAGATGAGGTCTTATTCCAACAAGACGGGGACCCCAAACACACAGCGAAAATCGTGCAAAATTGGTTATCTGACCAACGTTTTAAAGTCCTGAAGTGGCCTGCTCAAAGCCCCGATCTCAACCCAATCGAAAATTTATGGGCAATTTAAAAAAAAAGGTTGGCGGTATATGAGAGGGCCCCCAAAAATATGGACGAACTTTGGGTTAGAGTTCAGGAAGAATGGGCAAAAATACCGAACCAGACCATAGAAAAACTAGTGGAAAGCATGCCAAAATCCATTAAAAGTGCCCTGAAGAATAAGGGATTATGGACAAAATGTTAATACTCGTTATTTCTCTCACGTGCAAAATTGGATGAATAAAGTTACTTTAAGTTTTTCGCCTTAGAAAGTTTTATATTTAAGTTTGAATAAAATTTGTTTATGTTTCTGTTAACAGAATAAATGCTTTATAAAACAAAAAAAGTTTGGTTGAAATTGCGTTAATATAAAAAATTTTTTGGGCACATAAGTACAAATGTGGCAAACATTCAACCATTAATGCTCGCCACTGTATGTCCATGTGAAGTTATTTCCTCCATAAAATTGTGTACCAAACTAAGCCTGCAGTCTAGACCTACCTTGCTCAGATATCCTATCTGAATCTACTTTAGCCGCGTAGGCACAGCAGCGCAATCGCAATGTACTGTTATGATGGCAAAAACCATCACAGAGTCCTCTTACTGTTTCGTTGAATGCATTATAAAGTTCTTCGTCTACAAAGCGGCCGCTGTAATTGCGTGGTGTAAAACAATATTGTCCAGAATAGCAACCCTCAATTTGTTGACCGAAGAATACTGTGAAGATAATAATTGCAATTAAAGGTTGTTATCTTTGTTAAGGATTTGCATTTTACCAACTAATATTCCGAATATAAAAATGAAAATGAAAATTGCATTTTTATTATTTTCTTTTAGCCACATTTTTTTAGTACAATTTGTAGTAACTATAACACTTTAGCGCCAAGTTATTGACCAGTTCAGATGGAAATCAACACTTGAATGCAACTGCGAAATGATTTGCTTTTACTTAGAACTCAGAAAAGTAGCGCACTGTGGGGTGATTATAAAGAGCTGGAGCGGAAAAGAAATTTTAAACTTGTATTTTCATCAGTAGTCGTCGAAGAAATATGTACCTAATTTAATTAAACTTGAAATTTTAGGACTACCAAAAACGAACAAAGGAAGTCAGAATTTAATACGTACATAGATCTAATGGCATTGGTAAAATAGCATATTTTGGTATTATCTTTTTATAGAATCAAAGAGTTGCTTTGCCCACTGTAAACTCATTCCAATACCTTTATATTTAGTTTTAGTTTTGTATGCACATATACCGGTTTTTAGCGATAAATGCACGCATAAGTAAAACTTGTTGAATACATTACTTACTGTCAGTATTATTTTCTCCATTGGTTAATTAATTCCCTTAATACCTTACTTTGCAAAACTTTATGAACACATGTATGTACATATGTAGTACATATGGACATATATTTGTTTGCAATTCATACTTTTGTTTACTTTTTACAATCCAATTCTGTACTGGTTACAAAAATTTCGTAACCGCTGTCAAGTTTTGAACCCATTTCACATTCTGTGGACTTTTGTAACCGGTAAATTTGTTGCTACCTAAATAACTGAGTTTCTATAAAATAAAGTTGCAAAAGGAAGAGATCGTTTGATCAAATACCCACATATTGACGGCTGAGTGGTAGATCGACCTACTGTCTCGGCAGCCGGTTCGAAACGCCATATCTCAGCAAAACTACTTTAGAATTTGGTTGAAGAATGCTTTAGCTCAGAATTTGGTTCAAAAACGCTATATCTAAACTGAAAATATATTGAAAATATATTGGCATAGGGCGTTTATGAATCGGCAGCTGAGACAGGGGGTTTTTAACCGATTTCTGAAATTGAGCGTTCTTCAATAAAATTCTGAAATAGGGCGTTATCAAACTGTTTGCCGAAATAGTAGGTCGATCTTCCACTCAGCTGTCGATATGTAGTTTGTAAAAAAGACGCTTTTATTTAGAGTGCCCTGCAAAAATACCTATGGCGAAGCTATTGTATACATATGCAAGGGAGCTAACTTTCTTCCCTCCAAGACAAGCGCAGATCTCACTTCGAGCGATGAAAGAGCTTTGAGTACCGCTTGACAATTCTCTCATTGTGATAAATAGTTTCTCCCCAGATTTATCTCCGCACACAGGTTGATGGCGTCTACCCTAAAAAAGCTCGGCACCGTAGACGTCTGCTTCCATGCACTCGGGAGCTTCCAGCGCCTATTTTTATGCCGCAGTGGAATATTCTTAACTAGTTGGGGCTAGCAAGAGCTGGGAGCCTAATTACTCCATGTTGCTAGATGAGTTGAGCTTTCATCTGTCAAAATCCTCTCTAACGAATTTTAGTAGAGTTCGTTTTGCCGGTGTGCTCTATGTACAGTGGCGGTCAAATGTGGATGAATGGTGTTCCGTTTTTAATATTTACAATATTTTTCAAGCAAAGTTTTTTTTAAGCTTTAACAAAAACTATACAAATCATACTTTCAAACTGTATGCATAACTTAGAAAAATTCCAAAAATTTTTATCTTGATTTCGAGTTTTTCAGCCAGAATTTTTAGAAATTTTTTGAATTTGCAGTTAACAAGCTTGTAAAATTCTAGTAAAACAAGTGCAAGCTTTGAGCGGCTAAAAAAACGGGTTTTACGGTTTTTCATATAAATAGCGAAATTTAGGGAAACTGGCGTTGACTTGTTTTTATTTCTTTTTTTTTTGTAAACGGTCTTGCGCATATTCTTCTATAAGAAATCCATGTTTATATGGAAAAAAGTGCAAAACGCTGTCAACAAAAATAAAATTATTAAAAATCAATGCGATTTTTTTAGCCAATAACCAGGCAGTGTTTAATTTTATTAACACGGTTTGTAAATTTGCACACATTAGGCGAGGAATCTGATTGCCTCTGGCAAGCTTCTGAAAAAAAAGATGAATCTCGCCTTCTTCCAAACCTCCGGAACATGTGATGGAGCAAGACTGCTCTTAACCCATTCAGGACCAAGGGAAACATGCATCCCCATGAATTATTTTAAACGTTTCTGTTTTTTATGTGCCGCACTTTTATTTAGAAATAAATATTTTTACCAAAACAAGGAACATTCAAAACAAATTAGAACAAAACTACTTATATAAAAAAATAACTTTTGCAAAAAAAAATGTTTTTATAAAAGTCTAATTTTTAGAAAAAAGACGCTTTATGAAAAAATACATCTAAAGGAAAGAAATTTGTTGGAAAAAATAATAAAAACAAATTTTATGGAACAAATTTTACAAGGCGTACTTAGCACGGTGCATAGGCAACTGGCTGAGTCAGTGGGATCGTCGGTTCGAATCCTACTGAAAGAAGTCTGATGAGGAAATGTGGTGATTTCCGAAATAGCTATCACTTCTACCATTTTTTCAAATTATTGTTGCTTTTCCACAATAAAATTTTCATTTAAAACGGCCTCGAGCTCAATATAAATTGTTGAATATAATTGTTATAAAGACAAAACAAAAAAAAAATAACAAGAACAAATAATTTTATAGAATTTTTTTTCTGATTCTGATTTTTCTGATTTAAACAGAAAAACAATTTTTTGTTGAGAACAATTTTTTGTAATAACACTGAAGAAGTTGAACTGTAACAAGTAATTTTTAAGCAAATTCAAAACCGACTTCAATTCTGATATAAAAAGTCACTTATCGAATCCAATCCAAATAAGTATGGCGTCACCTCAGGTTTCAGAATTATAGAAATCGTATATATATAGAAACGTGGTCCAGAGTTATGCGGTAACATACATAAAAAAAAAATTTCCCTGGAATTGATAACCTTCTCCTTCTTTTCAAGTCAGTTTAAAATAGTTTTCCCTTATCTTTTCTTTAAGAAAAATCAGTTTTCTCACCGACTAAATTGTAGGCTAACGGTCCCGAAATAGTTAATGCTGCCCCCTGCTATAGCAGTAATGGCCGGATTTGATCTACTCTAGGAGCTTTGAAAATCCCCAAAAAAAACGATTTCTCATTGCACAAATTGCTAGGTAAAAAGGTTTTTGCCCGCCTTCATTCCGCAAAAGAAGGTCTGGTCTATCTTCGCTACTTTCGTAGGATCAATTTGCAGCCTTTCTCTTGCCAGAGCTTTGTAAAGCCTTACGAAAGCAGCGATTAAAGGAATTCCTACCCAGAAGGCTATAAAGCTTTCGCTCTTAATTATTGTGATCTCCTTAATGGGTGCTTTTGGTGAACTCTTCCTCTTGCCAGGGATTAGAGAAGCTTTGCGGATGCAGGTATTAAAGAAATTCCTAACCAGAAGACTCTAAAGCTTTCGCTTTTAGTTTACGTGATCTCATTATTTGATGCTTTTCCTCTTGTGAAGTCTTGCGGCTACCCATAAGGCTGTAAAATTTTCCGAAGTCGGAGAAATTTGAAGTAAAATTTTTTTTAATCTCTTAGTTTCGAATAGTAATACTATGGCTCAAGACAACACTTACTCAAACGGAGACAACATACACACATGCAAGTTACTTAAAAAATATAAATTAGCGCATATCATTTTCCGTTAACATAAAATATTCGAAAATATTGCCCGCCTGGCGATGATAAATAAGTGTGAAGATCTTGTCAACATTGGCATTTACCTTTTCTAATTTTCACATGCAAAGCAACAACAAATGCATTTCGTTTATTGACAACATCATTACTAAGTTGTTTGTGTGGGTTAGAGTTGTTGTTGTCACCACACTGCAACGCAGCAACATTGATTGCTCCACTGACCGAATGACAACACACCAGAGGCGCAACGTTGCAACGGCACACATTAGTTTGTATGTATGTATGTATGTATGTACATAAATATGTAGATATACATATGTTTGTATATACATTCTTTAATGTGCACACTTGTAGGTGTATTTATGTATGTATGTACATACTACGTATATGTACGCCGTATTTTATGCTGTTGCAAGCAATTGTCGCTGGTGTTGCATATTAATCGCTTGTGCTACATAGCTCTCGGCGATTTTTCACTTTTCTCAATTACACGACACCAAAGTCAAATGCAAATGCAGCGAAAGTGTTTGTCCAATCGCGTTTCGGTCACTGGTATTTTGTTTTAGAGTAGGCTACTTTTTTCATTATTTTATTTTATTTTGTATTTTTTTTTTTAGATTTTCAAATGAAAATACGAAATACGAAAAATGTTTGCGTGCAGTTAAAGTAAGTAGCTGCCTACAAACGTAAATTTGTAGGTGCATACGCATGCGTGTGTATGTATAGTGACTCAAACAAGTGGTCATTTGTGTCGTTTTTTTTAGATATTCGTAATGTTTTTCGAGATAATTTTTTTTTGTTATTTTTATATACAAATATCGTCTAAGCTTAAACCCAAACCGTTTAGTTCACAGTTTCAAACTATATAAAAATTTAGGAAAATTCAACAATTTCAAGAAAATTCAAGATATCTGGGTATGCAGTTTTATCGCACATACAATTTTAGTCTAATGAAGGCAAGTTTCAAACGGCTGAAAAATCGCGTTAATTTTTTGAGATTTTTTTTTGCAGGCTACTTTTTTCGGTTTTTTAATATAACAAGCGCAATTTACAAAAACATGCGTTGATATTTTGAAATTTTGTTGCTGACGGTCTTCAGCGTTTTATTTCATAAGAAATTCTTACTTACATGAAAAAAAGTGCAAAAATCCGTCACCAATAAAAAATCTCAAAAATCAACGCAATTTTTTAGCCGTTGCACTTCATTAGATTAACATTGTATGGGCTATAAAACTGCATACCCAAAAATTTTCTAGAAATTCAGAATAAAAAGTTGAAATTTTGTTGAAAATTTGTTGAATTTTCTAAAAATTTTGTATAAAGTTTGAAACTGTGATTTATACGGTTTTGGTTAACGCTTAGACGGTAATTTTTTAAAAAATAACAAAAAAATTTAGCTCGAAAAACAACGAATATT